TTACACTTTATATAATCTATCTAATGTTTTAAATAATGCCAGAAAAGCTGTTTGTGTTACGGATTTATTAACAGAAGATAAACAGGAAAACGTCTCATTTCACAACAGAAGTCAGCAGATTTGATCTTATTTAGCTCAATGTGATCTGAGCAGAACATGTAACAGTTTAAAATTAAAATAATCTTATAAAGTCCATGTAATCACTGTTATTTATTAAACTGGTAAACAGATGTTAGCTTGTGAAGCATATATACAGAGTTTAGCACAGTTGAATCATGCTAAAATTTAACAAACTATTAAATATTACAGCTGATTTGTCCTCTGATTAGTATTTAGACCTACAGAGTGTAAAATAATATTATAAATGTGAGTGTTTTTAGGTTTCTGTTAGAGGAACCTGACTTGTTGAGAAGATGGTTAGCTAATACAAGTTTCATCCTATAACCAGAGAACATTTTCTAACTGTTGACTGGTAAATATAAATATTATTATTTTTTAAGACAGTAAGAAGAAATAATAAATATACTTTATTACTAGCTGAAGTCATCATTTTTCAACTAGCTAAAGTCTAAGTTACAGGCTGACTTCAGGTCTGGTTTAGATCATTGTTACTTAAACATTATATATTTTTCTGTTTATATCTGCTGTTTTACATGATTGTTGAATGAAATTAACATAGTTATTAATTTATTGTAAAAACATGACCAATAATCTCTGAAACAGATCCAGTTCAGCTTGCTGTTTATCTATTAGTTTCTACGGAGGCTGTGAGATGTTGCCCTTTTAGGTCGCCATTTTTGCTCCTCCATGCTGTCACAGAAGCTACCAGTGGACGGTATGAGCGGGGCTCGGTCTAGTGATCTTTATATTTAAATCTATGGCTTACAAACAATTACTCAGGCTAACTCTGTTTAGATGGACGAGCTAACAGCTAGTTTGAGTGAGGCCAAGATCAAGATCAACGCAGCTAAAAACTTCTCCACTGTGCACTGTCTTAAATAACTGTGTATAATGAAGAATCCCTGGTCAAGGATAGATTCATAAAATACTGTTTGCACAAATCACTACGATGTCTCTAAACTTAAGTTGTTCAAAAAACAATTAACAACAGGTAAGATATTTATTCTTCATTACCTTTTCTTAGAACCCCTCTAAATAAAATCTGAATTGTCATTTTAATTGTATTTTTCACTGATTGTGTCCTGCTTAAAAAAAACCAAACAGTCCTGAGACACCTTGCTCCAAGTCATTTTACTTCCCCCAGCTGCTCCACAAACACACACACACACACACACACACACAC